CAGGCCCTGCTGTCCCAGCAGAGCCTGGATGGGCTGGGGCGGGTGGGGGGGGGCATCAGGGCAAACAGGCCAGAGAGCAGATAGTAGAGCTGGCTTGTTGATGTGCGTCAAGGGACCCTTTTGCTTCGGCTTAAAGTAGCTGGGCCAAAGTGTCTTGAGATGCCCCCAAAGCAAAGGAGTAGTATTTGAGGGCGCGTTACAGTTGAAATCACATTTGTGGCTTTGATTCTGGGAATAGAGCATTCTTTTTGCTCTGCTGAGTGCCAGTCTTCGCTTGGCAACTGGAGTTGATGGCATCTCCCAACCCGTCTCACTGAGGAAATTGTGGCATCTTGACTTTTTATGCGGACTTTTTTCTGCCCTGAAAATTCCAAGTAGTAGTTTGTATTTTATATCATGAGGGTGTGTTTTCGAAAGCTTGAGATTTTCTGAACTGTTCTGACTCGTTCATAAGGAATTTGCCTGTTCACCTAGTTCGTTTTTGTGTTCTGCGTTTCATACCCAGAAATACTTAACTCCTCCAAAGGGCATAGAAGACTTGGGAACTGAATATTCTTTTCCTGTCATGAATGGGTGGAAAAACCCTGTGCAGCCCTTACCGGCGGTGGCCGGGTCGAGCCACAGGGAGAGCAGGCGCCAGGGCCACGTGCAGGCGTCTTGTGCGAGTTCCCGCCAGCCGCTGACGGCCGTGCCCTGTGCCCGTCTTCTGCTTTAGGTCAGCAACTGCAACCTGTACCGCCTGGGGAAGAAGAAGGGCCTGCCCAGCCGCATGGTGGTGTCCATCTTCGACCCCCCTGTGAACTGGCTGCCTCCTGGCTACGTGGTGAACCAAGACAGAAGCAACACAGAGAAGTGGGGGGAAGATGACATGGTGAGTGGTGGGTCCCGGGAGGGGTTTGCCTTTCGGCGGCGGCAGAACTTGTGCTGTTGGTTTTGCCGTTTCCCTTCCCCGGCGTGTGTCTGGCAGCCATTTGACGCATCCGTTCCGTTCAGCAGACTCTTTCCGTGAATCAGAAGTAGTGCTGTAATTGCGATGGGGGTGGTGTGTCCTCTGCCTGTCTTCCTTCTCCGAGGGCGGAACAGACGTGGAGCAGAAGGCAAGACCCTCTCGCGGCTCCCGTCGCGACTGCGTGTGGCAGCCCGCGCTGGGTCCGTGGCGCTGCCCAGCCAGGCGGCCTTTGCGCGACCTGTGATGGCGGGCGTGAGGCCGTGTCCGAGACATCTGGCTTTTGTCGCTCCGCGTCTCCTCAGTCAGCGCTGTGCCTCCTCCTGTGAACTTGACGTCACACATGAAGGTTGTCGTTTCTGGAAATGATTCAAGTCCTGCCAGCGACTTGAGACGACGCCGGAGATTAGCAGCAGCTGCTTCGCTCTGTCTAGTCTCGAAGGCCACCAGAGGGCACCGGGGAGGGCCCCGAGCCGCAGGAGCTGCCTGTGTGCGGTGGGGGCCGTGGCTGCTGGGCTGGGAAGGCCGTGCCTCTGCCAGAGTTCATGGCGACCCCCGGGCAGTGTCCTCTCCGGGAGGCTGGCTGTGTGTTTAAGATCGGTTGGCTCGTTGCTTTCATTTTTACTTCAGGCCAGCGATAACCACAGCAGCTCATCCACAGGTTGTAGTTTCTTTGCTTCTTCAGTTTTTCAGTTGGAGCATCCTGTCTGTCTGTCGCCCGCCCTCTTGCTGCCGTGTGCCGCCCGCCTCTCCGTCTTTCCAGGGGGTTTTCTCGGGGACGCTGCTGTGATTTTTACCTGTTTATCTCGCCTGTATTTAACTCACAGAGCATTTTGTTTACGACAGAAATGGAACTTATCCGGAAAAGCCTCAAGAGGCTATTTTCATGCACGTTAGGTCAGGAAAACTACATTTGTCATCAACTTAGGAATATGTAGAGCCCCAGAGGAAAATGTGGGGATTTTGAGCTGTAGGGAAACAAGTATTTCTGTGAAGAACATTCAGGTCAAGTGATTCTTCTTATCGTTTCGTAACTTATTTGGCTCCTTTTAGCAACTGGCAGCATGAAGGTGGTATCGGCGTGTCGTTTGGAGTTCCTCTGTAGATGCCACGCGAAGTTCGACTTACTGTCCTTCGTGTCTCTGATGGCCTGGCGTTTTGGTGCTTGGAACGCATCAGAGCCACGGTGCAGAGCTTCACTTAGTCACTTCCTTGCACTGACTGAGGCCTTGCGCCGTGTGGGGAAGGCCTTGTGGTTCAGGCTCGCCCCAGGCCAGTCCTCCCACCCCTCCCCGCCCCTCCGTCCACAGGTTCGCGACCTCTCCATGCAGAAGCCTCCTGGAGCCCGTGTGGCGGTGAGGCCTCAGAAAGCTGACTTGGACGATCAGAAAAGGGCTTCGTGCTGGTGTTTTTTCTTAAAAGGCTTGAAGTGCTCTTGGAAGCATTTTTTATGAGGTAGAAGCCGCCACCGTGCAGATGAAGAATCTGAAACCCAGAGGCATTAAAGGACTTTGCCTGGGATCACACAGTTTATTTGTGATAAAAGCCAGTCCTTTGGGTTTTCGTATTCTGCCAGTTTCAGCTCATGGTAGCACCTTACTAAAGACGCGTGAGGTTTTGTTTTCTTTTTTAAATGATTCAGTCTTTTTTCTTTTTTTCTTTTTTATTGCAATTTGGCCCTTTTTGTCTTAGGGCCAAATAGTAATCAAGAACATCTTCATGTCGCCTTGGAAAAGTATAGAGTTTTTAGCAGGAAGTTGTTCTTTGAGGTCTGCCACTGCAGTTTGTTTTGGTATTCTTCCTTCTTCTTAAAGTTTTTTTTTTTAATTAAAAAAAATGAAAAGATACACAGTTATAGATATATGGCTTGGCTTACTGCTATTACTTCTTTTCAAGCCAATACAGTCTTTGTGTCTCTGGAGTTTCACTTAAAATGAAACATTTGCGCTTTTTGGAAAATGCTCGCTGGCTTGAGAAACCTTCTGTCAGAAGACTCTGGAAAGTGGTTTCAGTCCAGATGGAAGCGCTGCTCCTGCCTTTCCACCCCCCACCCAAGTGAAGTTTTTAAAAAGTTGCGTAACAGGAATTTGGCGTCTTTCTAGCATCGCAAAAAAGCTGCATCATTATTGAGTTCTAGCCCATTATTAAGGTTGTCATTCACAAATAAGCGTTTGCCAAAGAAACGGGAATTAGCAAAGATCTTTTGACAGAAGTTGGATTGCTGTGTTTCATGTTAGTCTAAATTTTCTTCTGTTTTTGTCAGTTATGCTATAATCTGCTCCCTTGATGACTGTAGCTGAGAGTGGAGAGAAAAGCTTAATTTCTCAAATTCATAGCTTCGCTCAGTGGTCACTTTTATTTTTCAAGCAGAGCAATTTAGTTTTTTATTGTGAATGTACTTTGATTTGAAGTGGAAATGGGGATAAGAACTGTTGCACTTTTTTTGTGTTTTGAAAATACTTTATCTGTTTTTATATTGCTCTCCTAATTGTAGAGGGAATGCTCTTTATACATCTGGAATTTCATGTTATTAATCTGGAAATATTTCTGAAAACCCAGTGACCATGTTTTAAAATGTCGTCAGCAAAACTGAAGCTCTCTGGTGGGCCTGTGAGTGCGCTCATCGCGTCTGCTGGAGTCAGACCCCTCCCTGAGGTCGTGTGTCGTGGACGTTCGTGTCAGCTTTACATCCGTGCGCAAACTCCTAAACTTACAGCTTCATGCCGGATAAAGGTCATTTTATAACTTAGCGAACGAACGTTCGCAGGACATGTTTCCCTTTGTTTATGTGATTAAATAACTTATTTTATGTTAATTGAAAACAAATGGCCGTGATCTTGAAGTTGCCTCTTAGTGTTTGTGGTTGTCGTCTGAAATTATCCACAGCCCTCGCTTCTACTGAGTTTCAGACCCTTTTAAAAACAGCAACCCTGTCTCCCCTCTCCCCCATCCCCCTCGTTGCAGACAAAAGACTGCCTGCTGGCTAACGGCAAGCTGGACGAGGACTACGGGGAGGAGGACGACGACAAGGAGGAGAGCCTGATGTGGAGGACGCCCAAGGAGGAGGCCGACTACGAGGACGACTTCCTGGAGTACGACCAGGAGCACATCCGCTTCATCGACAGCATGCTGATGGGGTCGGGCGCCTTCGTCAAGAAGATCTCGCTCTCTCCTTTGGCAGCCGCGGAGTCTGCGTACGAGTGGAAGGTGCCCAAAAAGTCCTCCTTGGGTGGCATGCCGTTTTCGTCCGACTTCGAGGATTTCGACTACAGCTCGTGGGATGCCATGTGCTATCTGGACCCTAGCAAAGCTGTCGAAGAGGACGACTTTGTGGTGGGTTTCTGGAACCCGTCGGAAGAAAACTGTGGCGTCGACACGGGCAAGCAGTCCATCTCCTACGACCTGCACACGGAGCAGTGCATCGCCGACAAGAGCATCGCCGACTGCGTGGAGGCCCTGCTGGGCTGCTACCTGACCAGCTGCGGGGAGAGGGCTGCGCAGCTCTTCCTGTGCTCGCTGGGGCTGAAGGTGCTCCCCGTGACCAAGAGGACTGACCGGGAGGGGGCCACGGGCCCGCCCCGGGACGATGCCGGCAGCCAGCCGAAGCCCCTCTCGGCGGGCGCTGCGGCCCCTTCCGTGTCGAGAGACTTGGAGTACGGCTGCCTGAAGATTCCCCCGCGATGCATGTTTGACCACCCCGACGCCGATAAGACGCTGCATCACCTCATCTCGGGCTTCGAAAACTTTGAGAGGAAAATCAACTACAGATTCAAGAACAAGGCTTACCTTCTCCAGGCTTTCACACACGCCTCCTATCACTACAACACCATCACTGGTAAGGAGCGCGGACCCCACGCCTGGCTCGGAAAGTGAGCCTTGGTGCCGCCGCGGGTCTGTGGCCGTGTGTGGACAGATGCATGGACGGTGTTAGCGCTGGCGGTGTGGGGGCAGGGAGGAAGCAGAAGGAAGAGGAGGAGTCCGGTGTCTTCCTCCTCGTCTGGGGAGCGAGTCCTGCCTTGTCCTGGAGAGAGCTGGGGGCGTCCCTGTCCCATGCGCTCCCTGTGGCAGGGCTGTTTTGTCTGCTGCCTCGTTAGAGACGGTGGAGCCTTGGGGTTTCGGTGTCTTCCCACTTTGTCCTGCCCAATGCCTTTGGCCCGTGCAGTGCTGCTTGATGTACTGGTATATTCCGGATGCATTTTCACCTTCTGTGCCTGTTCTTCTTGGGCAGAAAGGGCCCTTTCTTGGGGTGTTTTAAAGTCTGAAGTTGGATAGATGAAAAGAAACGATTTGACAGGAAGGTTGCACGGCCCTTGCCTGACTTGGCCACCGGTCACCTTCCACTCGTCGTGTCCTGTGCCTCCCTCCTCTGTTGGACCGGCTCCCGGTCCGTTAGACAGCCAGAAGGCAGAGCGTGTCCTCAGAAGCAGCCAGCGTCAGCTTGCGAGACACAGCTGAGGCTTACGTTTAGATCTGTGTATCAGAAGGATCCAGAATGCCAGAGCAAAGTGTGACGTTTATAGTTTACTTAATCAAAACAGTGTAGGTGAAGATGGTCAGCAAAATGTAAAACCAAAAAGGGAAAAACTATCTGACTCTAGACTAGAAAGCCTGGGGAAACCCGAAGCCTCGTTTTCTTAGGGAGAAGATAAGGCACAGTTTTCCAGTGCGCTCTCCTGGAAGTCAGGGGTCTTGGGTGCCAGGCTGCCCTAGCCCCGGCCTCCGAACTCATGGGTTAGTGTGGGACAAGTCCCCTTTTATCCCTGCCTCCACGTTTCCTCGGCTGAATGGATGCTTTGAATCACTACGAGAAAGCAGAGGTGCCGATTAACGTCGATAACATTCATACTGACCACTGCTGTGCCTCTCCTTTTCCGCCTGTTGGTTTGTGGCACCTCCCTCGTTTCTAGAACAACTCGAGTTGACAAGAGGCTCTTCTTTCCTGCCTCCCTGGGCCCCAAGTGTAGCACAGAAGTAGCAAAGAGCGACGTCACACGTGCGTTCCAGAGTGTGAGCGAGGCGGTGTCCCTGCGTTGCCGGGGCCGCAGAGCGTGGCGTGTGTGGAGCAGACCTGGCAGGGCCCAGCTCTGCTGAGTGACGGCGTGGGGGAAACCTGGGTGTGCCGGCCCCCGCCGGGTCCGCGCGCTGCCCAAGGAGGGTTCCGTGAGCGTGCTGCCCCCTGGGAGGTTGTTGGTTGTCTTCAGACAAGCGTGAGTCTCGTGGCCACTCGGACATCTCCTGACCCCAATTTATATGTAAGAAATGCACTTAGCTTGCCGTTAACATTTAGTTTCCACAGGAAGGGCAAGTGCGTGTCAAATAGTTTTCCCCGGAGGCGTGAGCAGGCAGAGGGCCTCGGTGAAAGCCTCTGAAGCGGGTTTGGGGGCCAGGCCTTGGCAAAGGCACTTCTGCGCAGCTAGCTGGCGCCTGTGCGGCCGCACCAGCTCACGCTCCACTTGGGGTCCTCCCAGATTGCTACCAGCGCTTAGAATTCCTGGGAGACGCGATTCTGGACTACCTCATAACCAAGCACCTTTACGAAGACCCGCGGCAGCACTCCCCAGGGGTCCTGACCGACCTGCGCTCCGCTCTGGTCAACAACACCATCTTCGCGTCGCTGGCGGTCAAGTATGACTACCACAAGTACTTCAAGGCTGTTTCTCCCGAGCTCTTCCACGTCATTGACGACTTTGTGCAGTTTCAGCTCGAAAAGAACGAGATGCAGGGAATGGATTCCGAGGTTAGTGCTGTGTCGGGAGACGCTGATTCAGGGCTGGAAAAGGCCGTCCCGCCAGGGCGCGCTGGTTTCCGAGTTCCGACCACACCGCTGCCTAAAGGGATGGCGGGGGCCTGTGCGGTCTCTGGTTCTCTGGGGAGCTCTGAGTGGACTCCAGAGGCCTTGGGTGTTTGCCCCTCTGCGGACTGCGTGGTCGTTCAGGGGAGGAGGAGGACAAGGGGCTGCGCTGTTCTCTGTGGCCGGCCTGCCGGGGACGCCCGGCGTCCAGGCCCCTCCTCCCCCTCCTTCAGGGCGGGCTGAGCTTGAGGGAGAGCGCAGTGCGGTCTCCTCTGCCTTTCTGTTTTAAACGGACCAGAAACATTGGCTGATAGCTCAGGTAAGCATCACCAGTGTCCATTCTGCTTCTGCTCAAAATGGGAAACTCCCTTGAAACACAAACTTCTAATTTTTAACCATTGGCATTTGGGAGGCTCCTATCGTGAGTTCAGCCAAAGGTTCTTTCGAGACAGAGCTAACTGGCGTATTTGTGAGCTGTTGTGAATTGGGGTGGGGAAGGGTGTTGCTGAGGCCTTTCCTGCAGTCCTTCCCCAGCATTCCTCTGCACGCCCATGTCCCCGGGAGAGCACTCTCCTTTCTTGCTCTTCCTCTTCGGATTCCACTGGCTGCCTTATTTTTGTAGCTGTTTTCGTTGGTCTTGCTTTAATTTGTGCCTTCACACTTTTAATTGCACGGAGCCATTGTTGGGCAGCAGTGAATTCCTTGGGCTTTCTGTGGGAAAAGTGAAGAGTCTAGGTTTTGAAGCCTCAAGGCCGAGGGTCACACCCTGTCCGCCACCCAGACGCAGGAGGGAAGGTTGGAGGCCACGCGTGTGTGTCCCTGCACCTGGGTCGCTCTCCAGCCTCGCCGGCTGGGTCAGGGCAGCCTGCAGTGCGGCGAGAGGCAGAACGTCCACACAGTGGCGCGTCGTCGGAGGCTCACATTTGAGGCGTCCCGTTGGCGTGGTTGGCTGGAATGGACTTCACGCACTCTCTCCATGCTGGTGGGGCATGCTGGTTCTGCTTCTGTTCATTCTTTTCTTTTGTTTTTATAAACATATGTACAGAAGTTACAAGAACCAATTGGAAATGTCGAGGTCTGGCATTTCTGACTTTTGTTTGATCTTAAGAAAGTCTCTACCTCTCTGGGCCTCAGATTTCTCACCTACAAAGACAAAGTTAAACTTTGATAAGATTTGAAATTCTATCTCAAAACTGCGATAGGTGAACAAGAAATATCTTGTTTTGTAGTAATCAACCTTGTGATGTGTTATTTAGAACTTTGCGTGGCTAAACTGTGCATCTAGAAATCAGTATTTTCCCTCCATCTCTTTATTTCTGTTTCACAAATGATTTGTGTTTATTTTAGAAAAATGAGAAAGTACAAGTAAACAAAAAATGAATTAAAGTGGCCCAATTATACTAACTCATAAGTAACTAAGGTTAAGATTTGGGGATGTGTATAGACATAAGCCTAGAAAGTGGAGAAGGGAGTTATATTATGCGTAGTATAGTGTAGCCTGTTTTTCTACTTAATACATTATGAATGACTTTCCGTGTGTTGATTGACACTACGATTTTCCATAGCTATATGCTAGTCAATAAATGTAGCTAATTTATTTCAATGGTTCTTTACGGCTAGACAGTTAAGTCGTTTTTAGTTAGGACTTCTCATAGCTCCAGATGTGGTCATGATGCATGCTTATCCCGTCATCTCCTTAAAGTAAGTTCCTAGAGTTGGGACAGCTGCGTCAAAGAATTGTGGACTTCTGAAAGGCTTTTCGTGCATATGTAGGGGTTTGTTGTATTCACTGGAATGCCTGCTGTGTGCCTGGTGCTTTATTCTCGTGAACGGGTATCAAGTGGCTTAATGGAAAGGGAGCTTTCGGAAAGATAACTGGGAAGATAGCTTCCACATAGAATTTTCCTACCCAAAGAGGAACCACTTCTCCTCTGGAAGCCGTGTGCACCCTTGCCAGCGCTGTACGAGCCAGGACTGTCCAATCCTTGCCTGGCTGCTGGGGGCCGATTGTTTCAAAGCACGGTTCTTTGATTACTAGTGAATTTGAAGGGTTTTTTTTCCCATCCATACTTTCATTGACTGTTTCTAATTCCATGTTAAAACTTGGTTTTGTTTTCATTTAGAAGCAATATTGTTTCCTTTGCTGGATGTAGACTGTGAAATAGAGTGGGGGCTTTTCTCTTTCTTGAGAAGTCTGAAAAACCTTTTTTGAAAAGGCAAGGCATTTGTGAAGAACCTAGTGAAGGGTAGCAGGCCACGGGCGGTGGGCTTTGTTCCCGTCCTTAAGGGCGTGGTGAAAGTCACGATCTGTCCAGCGAAAGAAAGCCCAGTCTGTGGCCCGCTTTTCAAGACGCCCCCCTTGCCTACAAGCGGCGTTTGTCTCTGCCACAGCTGAGGAGATCCGAGGAGGACGAAGAGAAGGAGGAAGACATCGAGGTCCCCAAGGCCATGGGGGACGTCTTCGAGTCGCTGGCCGGAGCCGTGTACATGGACAGCGGGATGTCGCTGGAGGCGGTGTGGCGGGTCTACTACCCGATGATGCGGCCGCTCATAGGTATGGCCGGCGCCGCCGCAGGCAGACACGCGCCCGGGAGCCGCGGCTGCAGGGCTGTGGCTCACCCGAGCTCTCTTTCGTTCCCATCACAGAGAAATTTTCTGCGAATGTGCCCCGTTCCCCTGTGCGAGAACTGCTTGAAATGGAACCAGAGACCGCCAAATTCAGGTAAGCAGAAAAGGCACTGGGAAAAAAACCAACCGACTGGAAAGCGAGAGGGAAGAGTTCAACTACACAGCACGCTCCGAAAAGTCCTGGGGCGTGCTGCTCTCCAGTTCCCCTCTGTAGCCTGATTGGTTTCTCTTTTTCTCTTTGTTTTCCTAAAGTTTTGCTGAGTTTAAGAGGACAAGGCCACCCCGGCTGTCGGTGGTGTGTGCAGGGCACCCTCGGGCCACCTCCTCTGTGCGGTGTCGGCGTGCACGTGGGCCTCCGGGCCTCCGAGTGCTCACTACCCGCCGTCTGACGCGGATCATGAGTATTTCTGACTTCTCATTGCAGCTGTTTGGATGTTTTACAGCCCGGCTGAGAGAACTTATGACGGGAAGGTCAGAGTCACGGTGGAAGTGGTGGGAAAGGGGAAGTTTAAAGGCGTCGGCCGGAGCTACAGGATCGCCAAGTCTGCGGCCGCCAGAAGAGCCCTGCGCAGCCTCAAAGCCAGTCAACCTCAGGTCCCCACGGCTGAAGCCCCTTTTAAAATCTGAAAACAAAGCGCAGACAAGCAGAGTTAAGGGGAAAATGTGTACACCGGAAGGGCCGACTTACAGCTGATACTGAGCGGAATTCAGCTGGAGGCAGAATTTAAAGTCTGTGTGGTAGCGAGAGAGAGCAGAATAAAACATTTAACACGTGTATAAACACTTTGGAGCTAACTGTAGTTTTAGTTTTTTGCGCAGACACAATCTTGTCTTCTTCCCTCCCTTCTGCTTTGTTTAAATCACGAGAGTGCTTTAATGAGGACGTTAGCAAGTGTTTGGAGTGACGACTGGCCGCCTGCTGTCTTCAGCTCCATTGCGGTGCGCCCTGCCCAGCGCTGAGGGCCTTGTAGGCCCCTGGCTGTGTCGTGCCCCTCCCTCCGTGTGTGCGGCCGTGGCGCCCGCCCTGCGGCAGGCCAGGCGCCCGGCAGGGGGACGGGGTTTCCGGGGGAGAGTGGCCGGTGCTGTCTTTTCTTTCCCCGTCACGCCGCAGAGTGGCCGCTGCTGCACTTGGTAGTAAGGGACAGGTCTTGAGTCACATTGGCTGGCCCGTTGGTGAATCACATTGTTGTCTTCTGAAGCCACATAGTCTCGCATAAGAAAGGTTCTTGCCTTAAAAGTCAAACTTCACGGACGTTCTTTAATTTCTCCTCGTTTTGGAACAAACTATTTTACATTCCCTTAGTTGTGTTATGCATCGACTGTTGAGACAGCGTGACACTTACAGCTCACTAGTATAGTTGTCACTTAACTTATTACAGGATCATGACAGAACTTCTGTCGTATGTGTCATGAAGACATTTTAAAAACCAGAATATGTAGTCTGTGGATATTTTTTATCATAAGAAAAATGATCTTTGGCTAAATACCTAATTTTACTAAAAACCTCCAGCTAGGTAGTTCCACTGATGGAAATGTGTATGGCAAATAATTTTGCCCTCCAGGCTGTTGCTCTAACAAAAAAACCTTAGACATATCACACCTAAAATATGCTGCAGATTTTATAATTGACTGGTTACTTATTTAAAGAAGCAAAACAGAGCACCTTTACCCTTAGTTTTCTCATAGAACTCTCTCACTGTACTTTTCACAATGTCGCACGCGTACTTCACCTACCAAAGCTGTGCTGTTAATGCCGTGGACATTTAACGTTTGCGATAAACTGCCGTAATTTTGATGCATCTATGTGATTTAGGTCATTAATTTAGATAAACTAGCTCATTGTTTCCATCTTTGGAAAAGAAAGAAGCGTTTTTAGGCATTTGCCTACGTTTCTTTACTTAGACTTGTAGGCACTCTTCACTTAAATACCTCAGTTCTCTTTTCTTTTGCATGCATCTCCCCCGTTTGGTGCTATGTTTATGTATTATGCTTGAAATTTTAATTTTTTTGCACTGTAACTATAATACCTCTTAATTTACCTTTTTCAAAAGCTGTGGGTCAGTCTTGCACTCCCACCAACATACCAGTCGAGGTTTGCTGCAATTTGCCCCGTCAATTATGCTTGAAGTTTGAGAAAGCCGAGCAGAGGCGTCTCGTGGTTTCCAGCACCTCCCGAAGTGGCTGCTGCTTGTAATGCTGCATTTGTGTTTCTGGTTACAGTTGAATACTGTTTTCTGGCTTTATCTGCACCATCCCCCGCAGAGAAGCGCCTCTGTGGACGTGCGCCCCTGGACGTGCCAGCCCTGCTTCCCCGGGGTCCACGTGGAGGGACGCGGTGCTTATCCGGTCGTAGCCTGAAACCGAGATGGAAGCTGTTGAATGAGTTTTTGAGCACATTAATTTAGGTGACTTGTTTTAAAAGTATTTAATTCTGATTTGGAAACCTAGATGTCTATTTGGTTTAAAAAAAAAAAGAGAGACCTTAATGTAAGATATCGTGGCCAGTTAAAACAATTCTTATGTGATGTTACTGTAAAAGTGTACAGTTGAAAAGTAGGGCTGGATGTGAATTTTATTCGTGAGGGTGATTTGTGGTAAGATTAAATCACAGATCTCTTGAGAATTCATAAACTACCTGATGCCAGGAGCATAGGGCTGCATCGCGGCGATGCATTTATCCCAGTGCTACGGGATTCTCCCGCTTCCTCGCACCAAAATCAGTTTGTTTCACAGTTACGATCCCCAGTGGGAGAAAAATGCCTCAATATATTTTGTAATCTTAAGAAGAGTATTTTTTGTTAATACTAAAATGTTCAGACTTGGACACGATTAGGTCATACATTCTCAGGGGTTCAAATTTCCTGCTACCATTCAAAATGTTTTATCAACAGCAAACTTTAGCTAGTTCATTTTTTTTGTTGGGGAAAAATATCTGATTTTAATTTGACTCACAGTTTGAAGCATTCTGTGATATCCCCTGGTTACTAAGTTAAGAAATCAAAAAGTACGAGCGAGACATATGAAATGGTTATAAATGCTTTGTGCTGCTGATGTTGAATGCTGTAAAGTTTCCTCTGTGTAGCTTGTTGATTTGTTTTGCATCTGTCAGTTAAGAAAAGAAATCACCCTGTGTTGCCCATCTTCCAACCCGTCTCCCTCCCTTTGTTCCTGTGATTGCAATGCGAGGCCGAATGTACATGGAAAACCCACGGGGGGTGTGACTGTGCTCCGAGCACGCGTGGGAAGGACTGGGGGCAGATCTTGAAGAAGCAGCTGCAGAAATTCCTCACGATGATTGTGTGCAGGCTGGTTGGCATGAACCCTCCTTCGTCAGCGTTGTTATTTCTTTTAAAATACAGTTTCCGCAGTCCTAACCGTGCTGCATTTTGTACTTGCTTTCCCTTCTGTTCTGTTCATGTAGCACGATAAGCATTGCACTTGGTACCGTGCTTTACCTCATGTCGAGAAATGTGCTTGACGGAGAGGAGAGAGGTGGGTGAGCCTTGCTGCTGCTCTGATCTACCGACTTGGAGAGAGAGAATTCTAATGCCTGCGGTGCTTCAGACACTCGCGCGACTTCTGTAGGTCGTTTTTGTCTGTGGCATTTTTACTGTTTGTGACAGGATGACAGAGATGTGTTCCCTGAACTCTGAATCATGTTTTCAAAATGTTTGTTGCCTTTTTCCCTTTACGTTCTGTGAAGTGATTATGTTTAGAGTGACCTCTCACACTCCTGGAATTATCTTTTAAGATACGGACACTTTCCTTGTTAATGAGAGTGCGCCCTCGGAAAGAGGTCTGCAGGCTGCCTGGACAGCAGGAGGCCAGCGGCTGCGGTGGCCGGTCCTGTCAGTTCCGGCTGCGGCTTGGCGCACCCCGGGCCATCTGGAGGGACTGCGCCGTCGTGGAGCCCAGGCCCGCCGGGTCCACTCGGGGCCCATCGGTGTCAAGCGTCTGCCTGGCTCTGTGAGGATATCCAAGCCTTTTACGCAACATGTAGGCCCCCAGATCTTGCTGTCTTTGTTTAACTGCATCCTTAACCAGTTTGCATCAGGCGCGGAAGGAAACGCATGTCATGTTTATTCCCTGTGTGGTTGTTTTAATTACGTTTAAATAGGTCTATTTTTCCAACCACCGATTACTTTTCGGGAATTTAATGATTTCCAAATAAATTTCTTTATTTTATATTGTACATGAGAAGTTTTAAAGATATGTCTAAGACTAAGAATATTAAAGTGATTTTAGAAGCTGTTCGAGACGCCAGTAGCAATATCTAGGACATTTGCACCCAGACGTTGTGTGTGAAAATGGTCTTTCAGAACTAACTTGTAAATAATTTTAATCATGACTTGGTTTTCTTCCTAGTCCATTTTTAACTTGGACCTCACCCACAGACAGTGTCCATTGCACAGACACACTTGGAGCCCCTGAGCCGCGGGTGACGCAGCACAGATACCGAGGTGGACAGGAAGCCAGTCCCTGGCTTTTCTGCTGTAAATAGCGTGAAGAAAAGTGACTACAGTCAAGTCAAACTAACGCCTATAATTTGATTGACAATAAACTCTTTGCCATCACATGCTGCAGCTGTTTTTAAGGAACGGGATGTCATTCGTTCACAAGTATGACCTGCTGCAAAGCCTGCAGCCGCCCCTGATGGATCGCGGTTTCCTTTAGCTGTTCTTTTGTAATAATTGTAGCCGAGTAAATCTCCAATAAAGTTATGGTCTGATCACTTCGTGTCCTTTTTCTTTTTCCATTCTTGTTTGTCTTGATTCAGTGGGTAATAACATTGAGTGGTAGCAGAGATGTTCTTTAAAACGTTTCAATTCCATGGTGATTCATACGAAAGTGCATATTTTAACGAGGAAATTTTGTTTACCAAGTTTTGCTTCATGCCAACCTGTAGAATTATGTAGAAACGATTGTCTTGTTGAAGACTTAAGTGATTCCAGTTTGTTCTTTGGAAATTCTGTCCCATTGGCTGCTGTGTCCTGGGTCTTGGGTTATTTTACGCATTTGACTCACTCCTTAATTGAGCTTGGGTTTTTGGAAACTGGGTGTACAGAATGTTCGGCTTCTCGGTCTTGAGGACACATTTCCCGTATCCTTGGTGAGGAGATAGTTCTGTCATTTCAGGCGTTTGACCCAGGCTTTTTACAACTCAGTAAACTCAGCACTAATATGAATCGCTTGGTTGTAGGAACAGGATGATAAGACGGTTGCAGGAGGAGAAAACATTTTCGTTTTCCTTTGGAAGTGGAAGTCGATCCCTTCTCTCTCCCACTGCTCTCAGCGAAAGGAGAGAAAGGCACCTGCGTTTCCAGCCTGAGGAAGGGGCCAGGCCTCAGGGCCAGGTCCTTCCTGCCACCCTGGTCCCGGCCCCAGAAGACGAGCAGCTGCTCTGGCTGCAGCTCCCAAGGCCGGCCGCGAAGGCGCAGCCAGGCCAGGCGTGTCCTTCCGCAGAGCGTGGTGTGCAGGCAGGGCGGGCCCGAATGCGCGTGTCAGATCCAGGAGCCTGACGCAGGCTTCAGGGAAGGGGCGAGCAGGGCCCTGCCTGCTCAGGCGGGCGCGGGGGTGCGGCCAGGAGCGCTTCCTACCCTCGCAAGGCACTTCGGGCAAAACCCTCATTTTTTTCTTTTCTGTCGTTGCGGTAAGACGTACATAAGATGTACCATCTTCACCCTTTGTAAGTGTCCAGTTCAGTGGCGTAAAGTACATGCATGGCTGGGCACAGTGGCTCGTGCCAGTAATTCCAGGATTTGGGGAGGCTGAGACAGGAGGATTGCTTTAGACCAGGATTTTGGGGCCAGCATGGGCAACATAATGAGACCCTGTCCAAAAAAAGAAAGAAAGAAAGAAAGAAAGAAAAACGAGCCACGCTTGGTGGAACTTGCCTGTAGTCCCAGTGGCTCAGGAGGCTGAGGTGGGAAGATCGCCTGAGCCCAGGAGTTCAAGACCAGCCAGGGCAACGTAGAGGGACTCGTCTCTACAGAAAAATCAACAGTCAGCCAGGCATGGGGGTGCACGCCTGTGTTCCCAGCTCCTCAAGGGGCTGAGGTGAAAGCTCGCTTGTGCCCGAGAGGTCGAGGCTGCGGTGTGCCTGGGCGACAGAGTGAAGCCGTCTCTTAAAAAAAGAAATACAGTGGATTCACTGTGTTGTGCCACCATCACCACCCTCTACGCCAGAACTTTTTTTTTTATTCTACTTGAAACTCTGAGCCCCCTAAACCCCAACTCCCCTTTCCTCTTCCTCCAGACCCCCAGTAGCCTCGGTAGCCTGGGACTACTTTCTGTCTCCGAATTTCACTATTCTAAGGGCCTCACGTAAGTGGGATCAGACAATGTGTCTCCTTTCAAGTCTGACTTAGCTCCGTTAGCATGTCGTCGAGGTTCATCCACATGGTAGCATGTCTGAATTTGCCTTTTTTTTTTTTTTTTTTTTTTG